TTAAGGGGTCACTTAAATTTAAGGGTTCATGCTATACGTACAACCAAAAAAAGATTTTGTATTTCTATAAGTGGGGTCAAATTATGGAATAATTTAACTGTGGACATGAAAAATAGTACTAGAATTGAGGAGTTTAAATATAAATATAAATGTATGTGTTATACAAGATATATGCAAGAATAAGATTTATTTGAGAAGGCATTAAGGAAACACTCTGTTTTATCTATGTAGAGATACTGCTTGCAGCCAATGATGCATGAAATTTTGTATAATATGATGTTATGGGGTAGGACTAGATAAGTCTGACTTCTTCCTACTCCATTCAAACATGTAATAGGTGTAAGACAACTGATTAGTATTGCTTGGATATGTGTGTTGTTGTCATTTGTTCATTTGTTCTGTTCTGCATGTTTGAAAGAATAAATCAATCAATCAATCAATCAAACTAAGATTCAGCACAAATTATGGTGAATCAAGTAAAACTGTCTAGAAGTGTTTTCTTCCTGTTGTATTTTGTGAGCATGATTTAGATCCATGTGCGATCCTGGTCTCATGTGACAATGATTCTGCCCTATTGGCATTAGCAGGGAGATGCCTTCCAACAAACTAAGCACTCCCTTTTCCTCACTAAGCTGCATACACCATCAACACAACTAAAAAAGTGGGGAGTTTGTTCAACTACCAAAGCGTAATATGTCATTTCTCACGTAACATATATGGACTGATTTGATAAATTTATTCTAAAATATCATACTCCAGAAAAAGCCACTCACCTTTGTCATCAAGGGCATCAGCTAGGTCTAGGTCCAATGCTGTATAAGAAAAACAAGAACAGCATTAAAGGTCAAGGTCAAAGTGTTAATTTGTCATATGCACAGTTAGGAAACGCGTTTCCCTGTACAATGAAATTCTTACTTTGCTGTTCACATGAATGCCACACAATACAAGTGAAATATAATGTAGATAAGCAATAACACATCAAAATAGGCAGTAAGAAGCAAATAAAAATACAAAAACACAATATAATTCAGAAAATATATGCTACATGGAAGCCGTGAAGTGCAAATATTCAGCAGTGAGTGTGCAATGACGAGTGTGCAAAACGAGTATGTAAACAGTACAGATGGAATTACATGAGGTAGATCCTGAGTCAGCTGTTTAGGAGTCTGATGGCAGTTGAAAAGAAAGAGTTTTTCAGTCTAGAGGTCCTGCATTTCACACTTCTGAGGCACTGGCTGGAGAGTAGGGTTATGAACAGTCCGTGCTGGGGGTGGGTGGGGTCCTTGAGAATGGAGGCAGCTTTCCTACGCACCCTGCGGTGGTAAATGCTCTGTAGAGAGGGCAGTGGAGTCCTGGTGATCTTCTCCGCAGTCTTTGCCACTCTCTGCAGGTGCTTGTGGTCCATAGCATTAGTGCTGCCATACCAGACAGTGATGCAGCTGGTCAAGATGCTCTCAATGATGCAGCTGTAGAAGTTGCAAAGGATCCTAGGTGACATGCCAAACCTCCTCAGCCTCCTCAGGAAGTATAGCTGCTGTTGGGCCTGCTTGACTAGCTGTGTGGTGTTAAGTGTCCAAGTGAGGTCCTCACTGATGTGGACTGATGGACGCCCAGGTATTTGAAGCTGCTCACTCTCTGCACTTCGAGCCCCTGGATGAACAGTGGCCAATGAGTTCTCCTCTCTTTCCTCGTGTCCACTATCATCACCTTCGTCTTGTCCGTGTTGAGGGTAAGATTATTGCTGAGTGCTCGCTCAAGGAGGATTTGTTGGGTTTTCCCTCTGTAATAATAATAATAGTAAGGTCTAGACCTTACTTTGTAAAGTGTCCTGAGATGACTTTTGTTGTGATTTGGTGCTATACAAATAAAATTTGATTTGATTTGATTATTGTCCGCACACCATGGCACCAGACCCGCCACCTCCCTCCTGTAGGCTGCTTCGTCCCCGCTAGTGATGCGACTTATCACTGCGGTGTCGTCTGCAAACTTTAGGATGATGTTGTCCTTGTGGGAGGCGACACAGTCGTGGGTGAACAGGGCGTAGAGTATGGGACTGAGGACACATCTCTGTGGGGTGCCGATGTTTGTGTTAATGCTGGCTGAAGTCCTATTTCAAATCCTGACAGACTGGGGCCTGCCAGTCAGAAAGTCCAGGAGCCAGTCACAGAGGGTGGGGTGCAGATCCAGTGTGGACAGTTTGTAGGTGAGTTTGTGGGGGATGACTCACCCAGGCTTACAGAGGACTGGTAGAGAATGTCCTCACTACTGGCATCACAGTCTGGTATGGCAACACCACACAGACAAGAAAGGAAGGCTCTTCAAAGGGTCATAAAGACTGCAGAGGGGATCAGTGGGACTGAACTGCCTGCTATGCACACAATATACACACACTGCGCATTCGCAAAAGAGTAGAAAACATAATCAGACCCACTCCACCCAGCTCACACTCTGCTCAGACACAAAAACTGCACCCACAACCTCGGGCACAGCAGGGCGGACAGTATCATCGCACACAGAAGATTTTACAACAGCTTTTTCCCTGCCACAGTAAGGCTGATGGCAAATACAAAATGTGAAAAACCTGTACAATAACCCCTCTTTACCCTACTAAGCAGAATACCATATACAATTCAACTCGGTGCAATATCATTTGCAATATTTGAAACTCCCCATTTTATCTGCTACCTTATTCCAGTATCCACAATTTTATCAACTATTTTGTATTCTTGTTTTTTGTATTTTGTATTCTTATATTTAGACTAGGTGTTCATTCTTTTGGCTTTAAACTCTTTACTTGACTCTAGGAGAGCCCTGCACAAGAATTCCTATATGCCTAGACTGTCTATGCATAAATGGCAAATAAAAATCTTGAATCTTGAATCTTGAATACAGTGTCTATCTGCTTTTCACTGAATACAGCCACCGGCAACACAATAATATGTGTTTTGCTGGTTGCTATGGCACTGCTGACTGATACACTGAGCAGCTTTGAAGTGTGAGTCACTCGTGAAGTTAGATACAACCCAAGGACACATGCTGAGGCTGAAGCTTCAGGTTTTTACACTTAACCTTATTGCAATTTATAAACATTTTATTATAGCGAACCTGTCAGCAAACACTTGCTGGTTTCCACATCTAGCAGGTAGTCTAAAGTGAGTTTATCAGACATTTTTCACTGACAGTGACACTTCAGCTCCTTAAACTGAGGCTGATGACAGCTTTGGACTGTACCAACTGAGCTGAAAAGGGCAAAAAAGGTCTGTAGAGGGAAGAACTGCTGAGTTGGTGATATTTCTCTAAAAGGAAACTTATCTCAAATACAAATTAACATAAAAATGTGTATTACAGCTGGTTTAAGGTGTTTTTGAACATTTTAGCCTTGTACAGTATGCTGCATGTTCTGTTTCTCACTACAACTGTTCCAAAAATTCACCTGTTTCACTAAAATACAATGATCTAAACAAGCACAATCCTCCCAAGCAGAGATGGTTCCAAGTCGTTTTTGGCAAGCTCAAGTCAAGTCTCAAGTCTTTGATCTAGAGTTCAAGTCAAGTTTCAAGTCTCTGGTCACAAGTCCAATTCAAGTCTGAAGTCTTTGATCTGGAGGCCAAGTCAAGTTTCAACTCTCTGGTCACAAGTCCTAGTCAAATCTCAAGTCACTGGTCACAAGTCCAAGTCAAGTCTCAAGTCTTTTGAAGATGAGTCTCCAGTCATTGTGTGTACGAATTAAGAGTGACTTGAGTCCAAGCCACAAACTCAAGTCCCCATCTCTGCTCTCAGGTCATTCAGATTTTCTTTCATTTTACATGTCTGGATATTTTTCAGTTGAAGAAATGTTTCAATGCAACTGTACATTAATAACATTTTAAGTAGGACAAGACAATAAAATTGAATATTTAGTTCCTGCTTTCAATGACATCAGATTTTCTTAAGTAATCTTTGAGACAAACAGCTGGGAGCGGTTGCTGTATTTGGGTGAACCTAGCTGTTCCAAACACATCAGTGGTTTCTAAAAACACATCATGTGTTAATAAACCAGGCTATAAAACATTAAATTTATTCTGTTTGTGTATCTTTCCACTGCCTTTTATCTTAAAAAAAAAAACCTATTCACTGCTTCACTGGGTGGCCTATGATACAGGCTTTAGTCCAAACAAACTGGATATAAATTTCAAAAAGTATTGACATAAGAAGCTGATACAAACTTTAGGACTATCTCAAAAGTGTAGAGAACCCTGCAAGATTTAAGGTGGGCAAATGCATTTTATTAAATGTAGGGGGTGGGGTGGGGGGATTTTGTGATGCCACTAGAGAAATGGGAAAATGAAAAGTAATAGAAATTACCAGTAAAAAAGCTATCACTAAAAATGTTTAATTTAAGAACTGCCCACACTGCCAGACTGGTTTATTATGATGCATGTTTCAACTTTAAGATAGTTAGACAAACAAGGTTAAGGGGGTTGGTGGGGGTGGGGGTTAATTTGATTACAATTACTGATTATTTGGAATCACCCAAAATTTAATTTTTGTTTATTCTGGGGGAAGCCAGTCTTTTTGATGTGGTGAACCACCTGACATTTTTCTTATAGTAAGGCAACAGGTGAAAGAAAAACACACAAAATTCATACATGTAAAAAATTACCCTCTCTCTATAATTTCAGTAATGCAAATTGCTTTTACGTTTCATTCGTCCATACAAGCTTACCATAACATATTGACATAATCAAATATAAAATTTTCAGACTGTCAAGTCTGATTGCTATATTACAATGTTATATTACAGCGACCATTTCTTCTCTTTAATTTACTAATTTTGTCTTAATCTATTAATGAACAATAATATAAACAGTATGCACATAGTTTTTTTGTAAATATAAACATAGTTGGTTTGTATGGGTTTCATTCTGACGAATCATATTTTCCAGTGCTATATCAACACACATGGCAACTTGTTTCCAGCTGTAGGAAATGCAGTTGAAAAAAACACAAAATCCTGCATATGTGAACTAAATAGAAATGAATGGCCTGTAATGACTCCAGGCATCAGAGACAATGAGTCACACCCTCCACAGCAGCCCTGTGAATAAAGGATGAATAAAGCCTACACCTCCAGCAGCAACCTTAGACATGGTAAATTATGTGCATTTAAGGTAAATTCAATTTCTGATTCAGTTCCTCCTTCTCTGGGCCTTAATTAAAACTGACACCATTTACTGGGGTCATTTATGAATGATAACTTGAACAGCAAATAAGAGGATTTTTCAGAGTAACTCGTGGACAACTGACCAGTCATATGCCAAACTGAGCTGATGCTAATGTAATTATTCTCAAGTCAATACATTGTTCCTTTTACCGCTGCTACTGCTCTAGTAACACATCAGCCCAGAGGTGGATTCATCTGGCAGTGAAGTGAACAGGTAGTTGAGGCACACATTGTCCACATAATGAAAAATGGGACGAGACTCTCTACTCCATGAAGTAGCCATATCTGGGACTGCATCATCACAATCCTGGATACATCTCTTATAAACAGTGAGGAAACTGCTGTGCGCTACATTTTAACGGAGATGGGCAAACTAACCAGAAGCACATCTGCAAAACCAACCACTTTGTCACCACCCCTAAAGTCTTTCCTTTTGTAAAACTAGACCATGATGTTTGAAAACATTTCTTTAGAATCTCTCCTGTAATATTCTGTGTTCTGTATTAGAGCCTGATCACCGGCGGCAGTACTGAGCTAATTGCAGCATGGCGCACCAGAACAAGGGGAACAAGACAACTCAAACGTCCAGACAAGGTGCACAAAGGTAAGATTTGTACTTTTTTTTATAAGTGTTTTCAATTATTTCGATCTACTTTACCAGAGAAAAGACTTTAATGGTGGAGACAAAGCGGTTGGTTTTGCACTTTACGTCCGGGTTGTTAGCCCTTTGCCGTCCAAGTGTATCGCAGAGCCGTTTCCCAACTGTTTCTAGGAGATTCCTCCGTGACTGTCTCCGATGCAGTGTGGAGATACTATAAAAAAGGGCTACACCGTGACCTAATTATTGGACAGTAAGCATAGGTACTGTTACAGGTATGGATAACACAAAAGATGCACTTAGTAGTAAAGGCTCTATTCTATTATAAAGCCTCGTCCGGTTCTTTCAAACCAGGAACTCCGAGGGACGACTCAGACCACTTGAGTATATAAAAATATAACCGTGCTGGTTTATTCAAAGAGTCACAGGCAAGAATTAACATTACGAGTCCAGAGATCTTCCAACCCCCAGGCTGCCCAAGCAGCCCGGAAGCAGAAAAGACCCAGAACCCAGAATTGCTATACAATATCATCACTTAGTTGGCTCGCCCCCTCCTCCACCGAAACGTGAACCGAGACGTCTCTCAGCTTTGCAGCTGGCTATAACGTTAGCCAAAACATGAGGAAAAGTCAAGGTGTGTGGCTGTTGTTTTCGTGGTGTGTATCTAAAACAATTGGACATAACCTTACACATTAAGACAAATATTAAGACTAGCATTACAGTTGACACTAACAGCTCTTTGCCTGTAACCTTGACCTGCCTGCAGTCTGCACTGCAAGTACATTACTGAACAGTTAACAGCCTGAGCTAGTCAATCTGTCTCCACTAACATTTCTAATACAACAAATCTCTAAATATCTATCTAACTAGGAAATAACCTAACAGTAGCTTATGCCAGGCTCATCTAAAATGTATTTGGTTAACGTTAAAGCTTTTAGTCTTTTTAGCTGATAAGTCTTAAATTAGCCGTCCCTGCGTCACCAAGTACGTTAAAACAGCCTACCATAACCACAACGTAATTATTACACAACCTAGGCCTACAATTTGTGATTAAAATTATAATAACCATCTTACCGTCCTGTGTTAATGCTCCAGTAACAAGAAAAAGTAGAAAAACAATCCTCAAGCAAAACTTCATGTTGACGTATATGATGCTTTTTTTCGTTTTTAGCTACGCTGTAAACTTTTTGTGGACACAGCTTTCTTGCCCCGACTGCAGAGCAGCGAACCTCGTATGATATCCAGTTACACTTCATTATGAGTCAGCTTTGCCTCGGAAGAG